GAGGGGCGGAGTAAGAGGAAGAGAGAGAATCTCACGCAGACTCCACAGTGAGCACAGAACCAAAAGCAGGGCTCGATCTCAGGACCCTGAGATCATGACCCAAGCTGAAACCAAGAGTCAGGGCTTTAACTGACTGAATTTCTTAAGGACAAAAGTTTGTCTTTTTCATTTATATATCCTTGGTATCCAGCCCAGTGTTTCTCATACAGTAAGCACTCACTAAAACATTGTCCAATGGGTGAAGGAAACTATTTCACAATAAAATGTATAAATATTTAAATATTTCCTTAAGTAAAAGCAGGTTCTTTTAAAGTTGAGGTTAAAAAAGAAAAAAGAGGGATGCCTGGGTGGCTCAGTCAGTTAAGCATCTGCCTTCGGCTCAGGTCATGATCCCAGGGTCCTGGGATCAAGTTCCGCATTGGGCTCCTTGCCCAAAGGAGCCTGCTTCTCTCTCTGCCTGCTGCTCCCCCTGGTTGTGCTCTCTCTTGCACGCTCTCTCTGACAAATAAATATTTTTAAAAATTTTAAAAAAGGAAAAAGAAAATAAAACAGTTCTGTGGTGATAACAAAAAATGACTAATGTCAAATCAGCAAAATTTAATTAAGACAAAAGAAGAGTATATCAAAATTTTAATCAGCATTTTAAAAAGAAATCAAATGCAACTGCAAAGTTAAAAAAGACACAACTCCCAACTCTTTAATTTTTTAAAAATCAATGACACAGCAAATGTTAGATTCATATGTACGAGATCTTAAGGATTCACAGAATGTCAAGTTGCACGAACTTTACAGGTTGCCTGGTGCTGTCCTTTTATGTAATCTTCATTCCTATGGAGGTGCTTTCCTGTTCCTAGGAAGCATTCCTTTAATGTGAATTCCATTTAGCATTTCCATGTAGGTAAGATAATCAGTGAACTGCCTCTCTGCGACTTCTGGGCAAAATCAGCGGGCTAAAATTATCATTCCAGTGAGTGAGAAGTAGGGTGAGGGGCTGCTTTGGTCTTCTCAAATCTAAAGCAGCACTTATAGCTTCTCCAGCTAAAGCAATTCTTCCTGAGGGGAAAGTCCAATCTGATTCTATTTTGAAACTTCAGCAACAGGACTCCCGTGACTTTGCCCTTCAAAGAGCCTCTGTAAAGCTAGCTGCTACAACTGTGGGACGAGAAGCCTGGACTCCCAGGCACAGAGAAAGCAATCTAAATGTCAACTGTCAGTGGGCGGAGGAAAATGGGGACTGGGGAGGACTTAGTTTTATTTCACAATACCAATATCACATCAGTTTTGTTTCTTTTTTCCTAGTTCTCCTGAAAGAGAGCTTTCCAATTCCTTCCAACGTGTGAACCCCAACCTCTACTTTCTTACAGGCTGCGACATTTGGGTTCTAAATAAAGAGGAACAAATCAATGTCTGACCATCACTCAAACAGTCCCACATATTAGGGTTAAGAATGGCAGCAGTGAGGGCCCAGCCTCACAGCAGAAACATGCTGACGTTCTCAGGGTGACTCTCACATGAATCATGGGTTCTGGGGATGCCCGCTTCCCCAGCTTAGGATCAAGGGGCTGAGGGACAACATTAGACTTAAATCACAGTCCACACCGCATGTTTTATAAGGTGGGAGGATGTAGAATCTGGAAACCTGGACTGTACATGTAAGGGGGAAGAGAAAGAATGAACGTTTATACCCTCTAAATATTACACGTGCAGGAATGCTTATTTCCTTAGAATTTTTTCTAATCTTTAATTATGGCAAAATACACAAACCAGAAAATTTGCCATCTTAACCATTTAGAAGTGAAAAGTTCAGAAAAGTACATTAACACTGTTATACAACCAATCTCCAGAACTGTTTTCATCTTGCAAAACTGAAACTCCAAACCCGTTAACAAGTGCTCCATTTCTCCCTCCCCACAGCCCAGGGCAACCACCCTTCCGTGTTCTGTCTCTATAGATCTGACTACTCTAGATACTTCATCTAAGTGGAATCCTACAGTATGTCTTTTTGTGACTAGATTATTTCACTTACCACAATGTCTTCAAGGTTCATCTATGTGTTAGCATGTGTCAGAATTTCCTTCCTTTTTAAGGCTGAATAATGTTCCATTGTAAGTATATAGCGCATTTTGCTTATGCATTCATCTGCTGATAAACACTTGGGTTGCTTCCACCTTTTGGCTATTGTGAATTATGCTGCTATGAACATGGGCATACAAATATCTCTTTGAGACTCTGCTTTCAAATCTTTTGGATAAATACCCAGAAGTGGGATGGCTGAATCACGTGGTAGTTCTATTTGTAGTTTTTTTGAGAAACCACCATAATGGTTTCCAGAGTGGCTGTGCCATTTTATATTCCCACCAACTACATCCTTGCCAATACTTGTTATTGTCTGTTTTTCTGATAGTAGCCATACTAATGATTATGAGGTGGTTCCTTAGTAATTTTTCTATTTTCTATACTATCCCTGTATTATCTTATTTGGAGAAAATTCAGTGAAATACATTCAATCATTAAAAGTGATCATGCAAACATATTTATTAATAGAAAAAGATCTTTACCCTATAGTCTAATTTTCTTTTAATATGCAAGTTATTGTAAGAGTTATATGAGACTATGTATACTATCACCTCTGTTTGGGGAAATACATATAAACATATTAATAGAAATGTTTTATACAGGGGCGCCTGGGTGGCTCAGTTGGTTAAGCGACTGCCTTCGGCTCAGGTCATGATCCTGGAGTCCCGGGATCGAGTCCCACATCGGGCTCCCTGCTCGGCGGGGGGGTCTGCTTCTCCCTCTGACCCTCATGCCCTCTGTCTCTCACTCTCTCTCTCTCTAATAAATAAATAAAACCTTTAAAAAAAAAAAAAGAAAGAAATGTTTTATACAGACTTAGTGGAATGTGGAAAGGAATATAAAAATAATAAACCAGAATGTTAACAGTAATTATCTCCGGATAGTGATAACTTAAGTGATCTTAGTGTTTTTTCTATTTACTTTCTGATTTTTACCCAATGAATATGCATGCCTTCTATAACGAATAATAACAATACAGGGCGTTAACCTTGTAAGTAGGTTGGGAATCATCAGGTACCTAAATTACTGTGGGCAGCCATGGTGCTTTGGCCATGAACTACCACTCAAATGTCTAAGAACACTCAAGCCAAAACAGATCAACTATAATCCTATTGTATAAATTCTACTTTTATTCCCTAAGTGCTACAAGGGCTCTATTTGGCTAATATGATAGGGGCTAAAATCTGGAAGATACTGTAATTTGCCATCTATATCCTATAGCCCCAGAATCAAGAAAGAAGAGACCTTCAAAACATCCCGTCTCTGGACGTTTCTTTCTTGATCCATCACTTTTGTTCTGGCTTCACTGTCCACCCATTCAGCTGGACCCTGGATTAATCTTTGGAGAAATGGATTCACTACACACAGGCTTCTTTTTACTTTCTCTAATGGCACATGACCTCTCCAAGAAAGGACCAAGGGAAAAAAACTACGAGAGAATATAAATTGACCCTTTTCTTATCAATTTTTAAACAATTCTCAATTGCCTGCTGAGCTAGGGACATCACCCTCAGTCCTCCATTCAAAGTTCTCCATTATATAGTCTCATTTTACCTCTCCACTGAGTTCCCAACTAAACTCCAATGAACACTAACGGTTCTGAGAAGTTACACGTGGGTTTCTAGAAGGCTGAAGTAGGAGGTAAGCAGTCAGGACCCCAGGCTTCAACCAGAGCAGCCCCACTTTTACCTAACAATGGAAAATCGTTTGAGAAGTTATGATGCACAAAGAAGACAGAACCTTATTCAGCCATTAAAAACTACATTTCAGAAGAATATTCACTGATATAAGAAAATGTTCATGGGGCGCCTGGGTGTCTCAGTCGTTAACTGTCTGCCTCCGGCTCAGGTCATGATCCCAGGGTCCTGGGATTGAGCCCCGCATCGGGCTCCCTGCTCGGCGGGAAGCCTGCTTCTCTCTCCCACTCCCCCGCTTCTGTTCCTGCTCTCGCTATCTCTCTCTGTCAAATGAATAAATAAAATCTTTAGAAAAAAAAAAAAAGAAAAGAAAATGTTCATGATGTTAAATGCTATATGCAGTATTGTCCAAATTCTTATATATTCTAAGTATGTAACAGACCTAGGAATAAACGTTTTGAGAGGAAACACATCCCAGTGTAATCATGCTTATGTAAGAATGACAGATCTGTGGGTGCCTTTTAAATTTTCTCCCTTCTATTAATAATCATTTTTAAACATGTTTATGTAATCTGTGCTTTTAACATTTTTTTAAATAGCTCTTTTAAAAAAAAGGATTCCCTTTCTTTAAAAAGATTGCTCCTGAAAGCCTTTGCTCTGCATTTCTCCCTTTCTAAAGCACAGAAAGTGACTGATCAAACCTTACTTACTCACCTTTGCCAGAGACTTCCCAGACTAACATCTGGTGGTTGCATGCAGAGAGAGAAACAGGATAGGCTGCCTGCCCCAGAGGTTTCAAATACAATGAAATCAAAATCAGGGGGGCGGGGAGAGCAAACAAGCAATATCCCTTCAGGCAAGATGCATATGCCACTGTCTCACCGTTGATCTTTACCAATAATTCTCCAGTTACCTGCCTTAAAAAGTCCTTCACAGTTAATATCAGCAAACTGCCAACAACTTGTAAAAGGCAAAAACCAAGAAAATCTAAGCAAAGAGAAAGAACATGTGTTTTGTCAATACTAACAGCTGGCAAGGAGTGCTTAGCTTTTTCCAAACATCAGAGATCTCCTTGTAGACAAGACATTTCTACTAAATCTTTTTTTTTAAATTTTTTTATTGCTATGTTAATCCCCATACATTACATCATTAGTTTTTGATGTAGTGTTCCACGATTCATTGTTTGTGCATAACACCCAGTGCTCCATGCAGAACGTACCCTCCTCAATACCCATCACCGGGCTAACCCATCCTCCCACCCCCCTCTACTAAATCTTTAATGCTCACCAGGTGCTTTGCCTTGGCTCGTTCTTCTTCACTTGATATCCTCTCTCGAAGAATAGCTCTGGTTAACTGCTCATTAGCAAAAGCCCTCTCTCGGTCCAGTTCTTTGCCTTGCTTTAGTCTAAAAAGACAAGAAAGGACTAACTTAGAAAGAATTATTTTATTGATTATGATTTAATGAAAAACATGAATAAGAAGAGAAATGGCCAAAATCACCTTGACCTATAATTTATTAAAAGCGGGTATGTTTTCTAGTAAGTCCCCATGCAACCTCTACCCAAGCATTTAAAATAGCAGAATTCAAATCCCTGAAAAGTTATTGTTAGGACTGCTAAACTAGTTTTGCAAAGTTCTTCTTATGTAAAATTGAAATGTGCCCACCTAAAAATTCCATCCCTGGTGCCTCTGCTTGTCCTCTGGCGATACAAGCAGTAAGTCTAATTAACAAGCCATCTACAAGACAAATATTTGAAAGTAACCATCATCTTCCCCTCAACACTGACTCATTCAACTGTTTGTTGAATACACACCAGCTGTTGGGTGAGGCACTCATGATACAGTGCTGAACAAGAAGGACGGGTCCCTGTCCTCATGGATCTTATATTACAGCAAGGAACTAAAAACATAATTAAGATGTCTTCCCTCCAGATGAATTACTCCCATTTTCCAACAATCCTCATATGCAAAAATGGCCAGACCTTTGAACAGCAGGGATCCTCACTTCTGGAATGACTCCAATTTGTCCCTTAGCCCCAGACCAAATGTAACACTGTGGACATAGTCTAGCAAAACAAGACAGCAGAACTTCACCTCCAAGATCTGTACACAATACTAATTCTTTTAATGAAGCATCCGACAGCACTGGGTTTATCAGTAATCTCATCACACAATTACGTCATATTAAGTTACAATCCACTAAAACCCCTCACTGTGCATGAAAAAGATAAATTACTTTGGCACTGATTTTCACCATAATGCCTGGCACATAAAGGCATTCAGTAATCACTGAATGAGAGTACATTTTAGTCTAATCTTATGGACAAAGATTTTCTGATTGCCTTTTCATCTCTTGAGAGAATAACCCCTCTATACCATCATATCCCCAAAGGTACAAGCAATGCTTTAAAAAGAAAAGGTAAAATTGCTATGTTGGTATAAGTGAAATTCTGAGTGAAATCTACTTTATAAGTGGGAATGATGAGCACCAAACTGAATTCAATACTAGTCTATCAAATTTTAGTTTTAAAAAGGTTCTTGAAAAGAACTGAAGAAAATAAAAACTTGTTACTATTTTTAAATTGCCACATCATCCAGATACTCTGAAATTCTCAGAAATCAATTACAACCAAATTTCATTATAATCAATTATAATTAAAAATATAATCAGAGGAGTGCCTGGGTGGCTCAGTCCGTTGAGCATCTGACTCTCACGTCATAATCTCATGGGTCCTAGGATCAAGTCCTGAGTTGGGATCCCTGGTCAGAGGGGGTCTGCTTCAAGATTCTCCCCCTCTGCCCCTCCCTGCATTCTCTCTCTCTCAAAAAAATAAATCTTTATATATATATATAAAATCAGAAATTACCTTGTGAAATATATTCCTAAAAAACTGAACCTGTGTTTTTATGTCTTGAATAAAGATGAGTAACAGAAAAATATTAAAACCTACACTTTGAAATTCTCTAATGCAAAAGTAACCTCTAGAAACTTTTCCTTAAGCAATAAGTATAATTACACTTACACAAACCAAATTTCTCCGTATTATTTCACAGTAAGTTCAGCAGCATCAATGCTATCAATACAGTAACTCAGTGGACGTGCATAATCATAAAAGAACACTGATAATTAGAAGTCTCGTCATTTCTGCAGAGCAGCAGTTCTAAAAGTATACATAAATCAGCAGCAGCATCCGTGGGAACCTGTTAGAAATGCAAACACTCGGACACCACCCAGTCTACTGAATTAGAAACTGTGGGGGTAGTGCCCCATAAACTGCCTTTTAATAAGCCCTTCAGGTGATGCGAATGCATACTAAATAAAATGAGAGTCACAGCCCTCAATTAGCAAAATATACTTCTCCCCAAGTAAATCCTGGAGATCTATAAAAGGAGAGTAACAACAAAAATGAAGTGGTCCACATAAGGATAGTGTGCTGGTAACTGTTGCGGTTACTATATCAGAATGCAAAACGGTGCAGTTAAAGCATTTTACTAGCATATCACCTGCAAGTAAAAGGTATTACCTAGGTTACAAGTCAGGTGGAAACTAAAATAAAATAATAAAAATTACTATCATGCATAGATCACCTACTATATGCCAAGCACTGTGCTGGGGACTTTACATACAGATAGACAACTATTATAAAAATCACATTATTAGTTCATCAACATAAAATGAATGCTATACAACTAGATTTTCTCATATCTACCACATGTGGTATATCATATTTTAAAGTATTGTTTATCTAATAATAACTACCTATTTTTTCTAATTTAGTTTACTTGCATATGATATCAATTTTAATTACAAATGGAGTTAAAAGGGGCTCAACTTTAGAAGTTTTGGCAAGTTAATGAAAAAGAAGCAAAAACTTGAGCACAAAAGCCTTCAGTGTTATAATAAAAATAAAAATTATCAGTTTATAATAGCTGGTACAGATGCACAAACTTTGGAGTTGGGAGTCCTGGGTCCAAATCAAGGTTCTAGCACATACCAGCTGAGTCAATACTTGAGTTAATCTCCCTGGGTCTTGTTATTCTGAGTAAAATGAACCAGTATAATACCTACCTTACAGGGTTCTATATACACAAAGCACTTAGCATAAAGCACTCAACACTGTTAGGTGAAGTAGTAGTAATAACAACAGTACCCACTATGGGGTCAGGAATACAGAAAAAGCGGTAGTTTTCTGAAAAGAAGAAGAAAATCTCCAAGTTCACTAAATACACCATGACTATATATGCTTTGTCTTCTCCATCTTTTTTTCCAAGTTCTCACCAATAAGAAGCTCTACTTTATTTTTATTATCTTCATGGACTTCCAAAATCAAAAACTGACAATGACCTGCAGACCTATCCCTTCATATGCTCCTTCGTTTCCTTCCCACTTGCCTAAATATATATATATACACACACACGCACATATATATCCTTACATATATATGTGCGTGTGTGTGTATATATATGTGGTAGGTAATAAATTCTTATTACCTATCAGCAACCTAGCTGTGCAATCTAACAAACCTGTTTTCTCAGCTTTAAAATATAATGGTTGAACCATGTAATTTTAATGTCCCTTGCAGGTAAAAGTTTTACAAACAACATACATTAAATACATTATTCTCCATCCCATAAAAACTCTTGAGAAAGTTCGTGGCAGAAGATAAATGAAACAAATCTATCTCCAAATTTTATCATTTTCACTCAGTGGGCATTTACATTTCCAGTCTCATCCTTGGACTTTCCCACTACTTGATAAAAACTATGAACTAGGTAAGAACAAAGGGGATCCACAAATTCATTCAAGATATAATTACGGGGTGCCAGACATTATTCTGATTACTGAAAACAAAATGGTGAGCACAAGAGACACAGTCCCTATCCTCATGAAGCTTAAACTCTGATGCACTTTTTTTTTTTAAGTAAGTGAGGTTGCTCTGAAACTAGATGGATGGGAGCCAGTATCTGAATTGAAACCTAAAGGATATTAACTGAGCAACCTAGGGAAGGAGAACGTGTTTTAGGGCAGACATCAGTCGGGTCAGGAGGTACCGAGAAAGGCTTTTCTTTAGAGCTCTGTGTGTGCCTGTTTCAGACACCAAAGGCTGAGACACCTAGAGTCACTGAGGGAACATTGTTAACACACATATACACACACAAACACACACACACAATTATCAGTAAAAATTAGGGCAAGGCTTGGAAGGGTTCCTGAAGCTTAAAACTGCCTTTGCTATTTTAGGAAAAAAAATTTTAGAAGTTGTGCTTCCTTTCATATTATTCTGGAGGGCAGAGTTTCAGATAGATGGTAGCACTAAATGAAGTTTCCTTTTTACTTCAGAAGTAAAAACAACAGATGAAAAATTTCTGAACTGCTGTATTCCTAATTTCCCCAAATCTCTCCTCCACAAAATTCATTTACAGCAATTCATTTCTTGTAATTAAGTTTCCTCTTTCACTGATCCATTTAGATCACTTTCCAAATGCTTTGCAAAGAAAAACTGCTCCCAATTCTCAGAATTCTCAGAAGCTCCCAATTCTTTTCAGAGCTTTCTCTCCAGGGCCCATGCTTTGGTTATTCCATCGAGCTATTCTACTCAATGGCCATCTATGAAAGGTAGATGGCTGTAAGATCATCTCATTTTTCTCTTACTTTGAGCCAAATGAGATGACCCAGCTTTCTGGGCCTGAGTGCTACTGGCCCAATGGTGGAGCCACATATCAGAGCTGGGTTGTTTTGTAAACACTCCGCAAGGTAAGCAAGTGAAGTGCTATTGACAATAGAAGGCAGCACTTTACTTCTTTGAAGGTCCCTGTTAGGTGAAAAGGAGGCATGAGATAAAACGGGTCTTTGATTATTAACCAGGGTTTCCAAAGCTTTAAGAATTATCTCGAGGGCGCCTGGGTGGCTCAGTTGGTTAAGCGACTGCCTTCGGCTCAGGTCATGATCCCAGGGTCCTGGGATCGAGTCCCACATCGGGCTCCCAGCTCAGCGGGGAGCCTGCTTCTCCGTCTGACCCTCTCCTCTCTCATGCTGTTTCTCTCTCGCTCGCTCTCTAATAAATAAATAAATAAAATCTTAAAAAAAAAAAAAAGAATTATCTCGAAATAAAACTAAACAAACCAAGTATCTTGGAGAATACATTCCCTTTTTTATTTTTTGGCATTCCCCACTTATTATTTCAGATCTCCTGGTCTAATATTATTCTACATTAAGCCCCTGATTTAAGTTTCATTTAAATCTCCTTCTTTTAAATACATATCTCTCCTCATTTAAATTCTCTAGAGTTTTAAGCAAAGAAGTAGGAGTTTAGTGTAAACTTTTCTTATTTGCATTAAGTAATTGGATAGCTTGCCTAAGCTTAATGAAACAAATACCAGGCAGCTCTGCCCTTATACCTCAAG